TAGCGTAATGCTGACCGGTCACTATAGTTCCCTTTTGAAAGTAATCAATTAATAATATTCCCTAGCTTTCCCAGAAAATGGTAGCTTCGACGCCGACTTTTCCACTTTGAATTTTTATGATGCCTTTTCTCCTTTTTTATCATTGCATCGACTCCTGTTTGGACTCGATATCATACTGACGAGTCCAAGTTTTATCAACTGTTAAAATCATCTTGGCGCAACTCCAAAAAATTTTATCCTTTTGTTATTTTGGTCATGGGTCATCTTCCTTGTTGAAACATCCGATCCATTTTTTTCATCATCGTATATAAAAGGTGCAGAGTCCTGAATAAGCGATGACTTTCTTTTAAAAATTTCTTTCAGTGTACCTTCTTTTTAACAATCACAACGTGGTTCTTCAAATCGCGAGAATTTTCACTTTCCTTTTACAAAGTGTTGTTGCTTGTTCTAGGAACGAATTGCTAATGAACTTAAAAAAAATTGAGTTTGTATACTAATAATGAGTTCAACAGCTAATATAATCAGTAAAGAGATGATGTGTCATCTATAACAACCTTAGGTCGGGAAAAAGTCAGCCGCCCCTCATATATATTTATATTATATAATTATTTGATATACATCATCATTTTAGATGTTACTTCACTTAAAAAAAATATAAATACTATAATGTCTTTCGGCTTTGTATTTAACTTTCATTTCTGTTTCCTTCATTTTGACAATCAAATAATTTTTGTAACATACTAGAAGAGAGAAAAAAAAATTCAGCAAAAAAAATAATACAAATGGGTTAAACTGTTACGTGCTCATGTTAATCTCATAAATGAATAAATAATTTTTGAAATAACACAAAATTCGCGATACTTCTTGAACACACCTCCTACCTTTAGTTTAGTTTATGTAGTATGGTTGATGGAAAAGTAACACATTAACATAAAAAACCGCTAGTTTGAAATATTATAGTAAAATTGATGAAATGATGAAGAAAGATCTAAAAACAGAAAATTTACAATTAATTTAGTCTTTCCATACTTCTCGGGTGAAGTCTTCTCCTCTTATCGCATAAATTGTGCATAAAAAAGTGACAAGCTCGAACAGTAAAAATTAGAGATAAAATTGGTCTGTTGGTTGACCAACCGAAGCCTGGCTTTGGAGATTTGAATGATGGCAATACTTCCTAGCGTTTCTTTTAAAATTCTGAGATGCATAGAATACTCGCAGTTGTTTTTAGTGGGCACGATGTTGACTTTCAATAGAGGAGAATATTTCGTTGAATGTTATCCTTAGTTTATCATGCCTCCAAAACTTCACAAATAATTCATTCATGGACCAGAGATAATATCCTACGCCCTGTTACTAATCGGTCAATTATCAGAAGAAGCTTAGGAAGCTCGAAACAAAGATTTCAGACCTTTAGAGAACATTTTTCTCGCAAATGGAGCAGGAAAAAATCAGACTTTCAATCAGTCCTGATCCCGTTATATCTACAGGAAGAAAATTATTCCAAAAAAAAAAGTGCAGGATTTACCTAAAGAGCCTTAGAGATGATCGTGATGGAGAATATCAAAAATGATAATAAAGTAGATGACGATGAGGATGAAAGCGATGATGATTATGATCATGAATATGACTATGTTTATATATTTTAAATAACATTTGAACCTTAAATAACTAAAAATTGAAGAAAAGCGATGTTCACCATATTTTTTTACGAATTAAAAAAATCATTGAAATAACTCTAATTACATTATTTTTTTACTTCTTTATGATTTATTAACTAAAGAAAAATAACTTTTCCTTAACTAGAACGCTTGTGGGAATTAATCTCCATTTTAAGCATATTTTACCCCACTGTGCGCCATCTTATGGTTAACTTTGGTGCATTGTCATCCATTTAACCATTTTTATTTATCTGGCGTTGCCAAAATTAAATTTTTTCTTTTTTATTATATTAGCAGGCATTAGACAATAATTTAAAGGTAGTTTCGTTCTCTCTTCGCACTCGACTTCATAGCAATCTTTAATGTCAGTGTTCCGATTTTTTCGTGCTACTCTCTTCCTTAAAAAAAATCTACCTTTTGAAATAAAAAATATGTAGAAAATTTTCATTTTTTTTTTTTAAGTTTTATATTGCATTTTCGAACCTCATCTAGGGTATTCCTTTTATGATTGCTTACTACACTTTTGAAAATATTAAGAAAGTATCAGAAGATCAAAACAAAAAAAGGATATGGCCACCAAAATTTAAATCGTATTCAAGAAGATGAAGAGCTGAGAAAAATTGCAATAACCACGTTTGAATGCCAACCAGTCTCACAGTTTTAGAGATGTTTCAAGGAAATTTTGTAAGCAAACAAGACATTGTTTTAATATTAGTTGTTGGTGGTTAGTGCAAATTCATTATAAAAATTGCTTAATTACGCTAAAAGTCGATTAAACGTTCAAACACTTTTGAATTCAATTTAACCTCCAAATATATTGACATTAGTCAGTTAGTTAGTTAAACGGCGATCACGGAACCCTGATCTTTTATTGAAGATTCCCTCACCTTTCCAAATGCTCAAACGACTTTATTTTGTATTTTACGAAGTTAAGAAGATTAATGATGCCTAAAGTTGCAACATCAACTATGTTTATTATATTTATCTACACGTATCTAGCAAATCGGTTTTCTACATCTGACACCTAAGAAAAACGGCTCAAAAACAAATATTTTAATAGATCCATGCGTGTATCTGTTTCGAAGACAACCCCACAAATAATTAAGAAATCTTCAAGTTGAATATTTTCTAAGTGGCAAGCTTGAACATTTCTGAGCAAACAGGTTTAGTGTCGAAAAATTCGAAGTGACACTACCTTATTGAATTTTTGTACCATGTTAGCAGGTATAATAATTATATTTTTTTGTTTATTTATGGAGGAACTAGAATAAAAATGACGATTGGCTTATATTTTCCCGATTTTTCTAAAAAATCTGAAGAGCTTACAAAATCTTATTTTTTAATGCGAATGAAACGAGTTATACAAGTATACTCAAAACGTAGGAGATGATTTATATGATTTATATATTTTTAATTAAAACAAATGCCAATGCGATTGTTTTTAGTCTATGAAATTAAAATAAATGTAGAAGATTTTGTGCATATATGTTCCTAATTGACTTTTAAGATTTTAAGGTTCTTAAGGAAAGATAACTAATGTTTTAGTCTTCAATTCTATTCCCATCTAAGGATCTGGCGAGAAACGTTTTATCGCCAACATCAAAACTAAATTACTCGCTAGCAAAGCATAAAAGTCGAAACACATTATCTATATGGAAATGAAGCAAAAATTTCATAGAAACTTTACTTTTTTATTGGCCTTGGCATCAAATGAGGCCAGGACACTCTCCACCTGATTCTTCCTAGAACTGGAGGTCTTCCTCTTCCTTTACTTCCACCAGCGGGCCCTGCATCGAATACTTTCAAGACTGGAGTGCTTTCATCCATTCGGACGACGAAACTCGAAGGCCCCCAAAGCCGATCCATCAGCTATTGACATCGTCCACCCCTCTGCGTCCAATAGAAAGACGGGTATGTCGAGCGACTTGTTTGTCGAGAGAGGAATTCACTTTTTAATTTCCTACATAGTCCAAAGAATCACCTGTTAGCAAGAGTGATTCTGCATTGAATTTCAAGGCTGACATTATTATTGGTGTTAATGCTCGTCCTTAGATAGACGAAATTATCTACGACCTCGAAGTTATGACCGTCAACAGTGATATGATAGCCAAGTTACGAATACGCCAGTACCAGACCCTTTCGCTTCGCTGCTTTACCAAGCCTGGAGGAAGCAGAACTAACGGCGCGGTTATCGAGGCCGATAATGTCAATATCATCGGTGGTGACGACATCACACTTCTGGTGTTGTCTAGCATCAGTTTACACAGCAGTATAAGTTTCGCGGGGATACTAAATTCAGAAGGATGCTTTGAGATCGACGAAGAGGTGGTGTGCGTCCATCCCCTTTTAATGGGTTTTTTCCATTGGCGCATTGTGAATATCTGGACAATGATTGACTTACAGGTCTACTACACTGATAAGATCCAATCAGTTTGATGATGTTGGGCTTTAGTCTTTTACACAAAACGCTTTATAGGACCTTATGTACGATGTTAAGGATACTCCCACAGCAGTTGGCTCAGACTGTGGGCTTGGCAGAGTACTCTTCGGTTCCAATCGTCGGGCATTCTTCATCGGACCATGTTTTGCAAACAAGCTGACGCATGCCTCTTGTCAGCTCTTTACCGCCATGTTTGAATAGCTCTTCGTGTAGGTCGTCAGCCTCAGTCGCTTTCTTGTGTTTTTAAGCGGGCAATCGATATTTGAACTTCGACGTCGTCAGATAGCGGAACGTCTGTTCCATCGTCATCGATTGAGATTTCGGATTCTTTATCTCCGGGTGTTGCATTTTCACTGCCGTTTAGCAGGCTGCAGAAGTGTTCCCTCCATAAGTTTGAGGTACCCTGGGCATCCATCACTGAATCACCCCTGGCTTCTACAAGAGCTTGCTTGACCGGCGGTAAAATAATAGACTCTTTCGTAGACACTATCCAAAGCAATAAATGGTTAACTTAAAGTATTAGGTTTGTAATGAAAATTTGTTTGAAGCACATAAAAAAATTAAACATGGGGGAAAACGTCAAATGGTGTTAGCATTATTTTTATAAAAAAAAAATAAAAAATCGTTATGCTTTACATAGTTTTCGGTCTAGGTGTTTTTGAAACCTTAAAGGTTTTGACGTCGGTAAATAGTAAACTCGCGTACACAACTGAATGTACAATTTGCCGCTTTATTAGTACCATGATCAGCATTAGCTGAAGACAAAGGATTTGAATGTATAGTTGATAAGAAAATGTATAAATATGTATATATTATATATTTGGTGATAATATGAGCTCTTAATTATAATATTACCGTAGTACTTTTCTTACTTCTGTAAAAATAAAACAAATTTATTCAACTTTCCGATATTTATTCCAAATTATTTGAGAAAATTAAACCATACAAAAAAAATCGGATATGATTTTTCCTTAAGTTTGCTGGTTCAAAAGATACATGAGCTGTCGAACAAAATCAAAAGAACCGCATTTTGTGTGTTGATGCGATCACGGTTCGAGCGCTTTCAGTCAGCTATTTTCATTAAGGTCATTACTATGTACAAGTATGTACATTCCAAGCGATACAAATTGCGGTAAATTTTAACTCGAGTAATTTCTGAACCAGTAATATTAGCTAAATGATTTTTGTATGTTGCTCGGTTATGTTACTATAAATATCAGAAGGTGAAGGTTAGTGTACCAGTTATTCCTATATAAAATAGAAAAGTGCAATGAGTACTATATTAATATTAACATTAATGGTTCATATGTTCACCATAATTTTTAATATCCAATCGGAAATATTAGTCAGTTTGGGAAAAAGCTTATTTTTGTATCACTCTCATATACATACTACATATGTACATACGTGTATGTATGTATAAGCATATAAAGTAAGTTACACATCCGTTCTTAAGACTAGTTTATATCAATTTTATATAGGCACCAAATAGCGTTAAACGCTTTCTTTCTCTTTAATTGGTTACGTTATTTGATTTAAAAATACAAATTATTAATATAGAACAAACTCAAATAATTCTTAGCTATTATTAGTTTTTGAATCACAGGGTTTTCCTCCTCTTATTCATCTTCGTGTTGTATACATGTATGTAGGTTTGCAATACCTTTGTAAGTAATTACCTACAAATATTGCAATGTTTCTAACGCAAAATTTCTAAGATGCAAAAGACACAGTAATATTTTTGTCAAAAAATATTAAAATTTACCATCGATTTATAGTAATTTGGCGATATTTTGCCTGGTCACCTTTTTGGGCAATGCAATTTGATTCTGGTATCGAAACTCTTAATCAAACCTTTTTCAGGCCGTCCTTTATATACGTGTATGTACATGTATTTTATTATGAAATACAGAGAATCCTTTGGCGGAATGTACGTTTGCAAATATGGAGAATTTTTGTTTATGGAAATAGCGATTGCACATTGTGCACATAACATGTGCGATTAACTCAGTCACAATAAAAATATTATATTCTAAAAGATGAGCTTTTACCATGGGCCATCGAAGTTGTTAGCGAGTGTTGTTGCTTTAATATTCTGTACATTCATGTGATTCAAAACTTTATATATCCTCTTTTATCAGTTACTAAAAACCCAAAACATAAATGTTTTAATCCGCTGTGTTTGCATCTCCAGAAATTTTGCATAAGCTTAACTTTCCTTGTTAGCTTTATTTTTCTGGTTATAAAAACAATTCCATTCACACATAGTGCACTGTGCCGTAATAGTGTTTGTCATGCAGCTCCAGTTAAATTTGTTCTCCGATGTCACCGTTGCGTAAATGAAATTTCCAGCCAACATGGACATTTCATAATATCTTGCCGTGTGTAATGTTTACCCCATCCTTTGACGAAACTAATGCATATGCTATGCATATTCATCGGGCCTAATTTAGCAGTAGGATATTGCGTGTAACGAACAAGCGATTGAGCCCTAGAAGTGTAAAATGTGAATTACAAATAAATATACATATGAAAATTATATTACCAATATATATGTACATATGTACACTGTTATTAATTTAAATTAATCAAAACATACCTATTCGTATCGAAAGCCTTTAAACAATCTCCTGGCGCCACTTTATAGACGCACTCCAAACATTTATTTAAAGTTGGTGATAGGATGAAAACAGGGGCCATAGAGCGGTTGTAAAGCCATACTCCCTCAAATTCCTGACTTAATACTACACCTAAAGAGAATTTAAAAAAATATATGGACTTATTTTAGTCAAATATTAGTTTTTTACTTACCTAAACCAATTTTTTGTCGCGTGCGTTCAACGTCGACTCGAGATGGTGTACTTTTATTTGCAGCCAAATTTCGTAGACAGATATCCTGACTGTCATTATTACAGCTTTTTCCTTCAGCATAAATATTCACAAACGGTTTATGTACACAGCAACGATTGCCAACGCGGTCGTTAAACTCCCAGTATGCTACTTGGCACCAAGAGGGTTGATCTAGAATATTGAAGAAGAATATGAAAGTCAAAAAGGCCTCCCATGAGCTTAAAATAATTTTAAGTGCTGAACAAAAAAAAAATAAATATAACTTTAGGAATAAATATACATGCAATCATATTGAAATGTAATTCAAAGATTAAGGAAATATAATTCAATGAACGTAATCACAGCTGAGGAATTCTTTTGCGGTTACAACAACAACAACAACGGCTGAGGAGAGTAATACTTTTTAAAATGTTGAGGTTTTCGATGTTTTTTTATAACCTGAAAACGGCTTCACCGAATAGTTAATACGAAGTTTACCTGAATTCGGTATTGGGTGGGGCACCCCTTATTAAATATAAAAAATAACTTGGTAACATCTTCACCGTGTATTAAAACTACGAATTTTTGTAGGCGAATGTGAAAACTAATTTGTAGCAAAAAAAATCGTTTCCAAAATGGAAGAGGTGTGTTGCTGTTTTGTCTTTTTTTCATTAATGTTTTCTACAAGTTATTGGATAATATAATTTTCATATACATACTTAAGTCACTTTATTTACAGAAACATGGTTAGCATATGGTCTGTTGTTGGTCAGAAATATTTCCTGGCCTGTTAGGTTTAAACAGGGATAATTTTTTTCCTGGAAACGATTGGTGCGACAACTAAATTGACCTTATTTTATGAACATTGTGCAGATGACTTTTCGTGTCAAATAAGTATTCCTCACATAGCCTTATAGCCCTATAGTTCTCTGCATAATAGGTGCGGTATTGCAGCCAACTTTTAGTTCTGGAGTTATACGTGGTATTTCATTTCACTGCATACTCAGGGTTAGCAAATCTCAATTTTTGACCTTTTGGCGTATTTGCGGTAAGTCACGTTAAGCTTCGATGCTCGTGTTATAATGCAGATGATTTATGAAAAGGTATGCATATTTCATTAGTTTTAAAATTAATGATTCTTCTTCTTTATTGGCATTGGCACCGCTTACGCGATTACAGACGAATTACTTATAGCGTTACATTCACCTCTTTTTTGCGCTGTCTGGCGCCAGTTGGAAATACCAAGTGAGGACAGGTAACTCTCTTCCTCTTCTTCTGCTTCCACCGGCGGCTACTGCATCGAATACTTTCAAAGCTGGAGTGACTCCCAACGCCATCGTCAACGCCTCTTGTAGAGTTTGTAGAAATCAGAGCGAACAACGCGGTTGTTGAGGCCGATAATGCCAATATCATCGACGTATGACAATAGTTGTACACTCTCTTAGAATATTCTATCTTCTCTATTCAGCTCTACTGCAGTTATTAATCTCTCCAGCATCAAATTGATGAAATCACATGACAAAGAGTCATCCTTTGTTTGGTACCAAACGGCTCCTAGAGATCATTAATAATTCTGACTGCAGCATCAGTTTACACAGCAATATAAGTTTGGCGGAGATACCAAATTCAGACATAACGGCGTGTAGACAGCTCGTTTTCCTGCTGACGAAAGCTGCTTTGAAATCGACGAAGAGGTGCTGTATGTCGCTCCTCTTTTCACGGGTCTTTTCCAAGACTTGGCACATGGTGAAAATCTGGTCAATCGTTGACTTACCAGGTCTATCACACTGATAAGATCTTTTACACAAAACACTCGATAGTATACGTAATGTTAAGGAGGCTTATCCCATAGTAGTTGGCGTAGACTGTGTGATCGCAATTTTTGTGGACTGGGCAGTGTACACTTAGGTTCCAATCGTCGGGCATGCTTTCATCGGACCATATTTTGCAAATAAGCTCGTGCATGCACCTTTGTCAGTTCTTACCGCCATGTTTGAATAGCTCTGTCTGTAGGCCGTCAGCCCCAGCCGCCATTTTGTGTTTTAAACGGACAATCGCTATTCGACTTTCGACATGATCTCCGGGTGTTTCATTTTCATTGCCGTTCAACAGGCTGTAAGTGTTCCCTTGGGTGAGTGCCAAGCCCTACGCAGAACCGCATAGGATTCGCCTTCTCACTTTAGCTAGCCTCCAAACGGATGTTTGTTGGCTACCCAGGGGATACTTGGTCTAAGACCGGAAGTCGTGAGCTTTTTGAACCATATGCAAAAGAGTCATTTCTGGCCACTCCCAGGTGAATAGCAGGCAAAAAACGTTAATAACTTTCGTGAGCTTCTACACATTGCCCCATCCCCCTAATTTATAGTTATTTTTTTAATTCATAATTGAACAGATTTGGATACCTAATATTTAGTAATCCAAGTTTGTATTGAGGACTACACGATCTTCTTGCCAAATCTAACATGCCATATGTATATGTATGTATTTATTTAAATTTGAATTATTTTTTTACGCTTATCTTTATATACATACATACATATAAGTTTGCTGTACGTGTGTTTGTAATTGAACTCCTTCTAAACGGTTGGACCGATTCTGATGAAATTTTTTTGTGTGTATTCAAGGGGATTCGAGAATAGTTTAGATTCACATTTCGGTTAACTAGATAATGTTTTATCAATGAATATATTTATTTATAAATTGTTGTCGATGTTACACCGTTTAACATACAATTCGGCAGACTTTCAGTTACGCCTGGTAGATGGATTCTTAGTTAGCGAATAGTCTAAACTATGGTGACTATAAACTTCATGTGCGTCTAAACATTCATACGGCTATTCTACTCTATACGATACATATCTGAATGAAGATATATAAAGGACAATTCGGCTAAACACATTTGTTGCTATTTGGTGCATCCATACCTTTCGGATATTACTTACTAGACTGAAAAATGTGAATGTACAAAATTAAGAAATTAAATTAAAATTACAATAAATATGTTTAGCCCTGTGAACTTTCATTTTTAGAAGTTACCTACATTGGTTGTTCTGTATTTTTCATAGTATTTTATTTCTACAAAAAAAAATGCCACGTCTTCGTGGAAGAAATATTGGTCGACGATCTCATAATGGGCAAATATCTGTCGGATCTGCTAGTTTTTATATATATCTAATATGAGAGGTACTCATTTTTCTTGGTAAAATGGCAATTTCCTTGTTTGAATAATTCTTTGTTTATCTCTCTTATAAAACTTTAAACATATATACATCCAAATGTCGATATTAGATAAGAGATTGAAATATACAAATAAAAAAAAAACATTTCATTTAGTAACTTCTCGTTTAGCGTTGAAAGTTAATCGGTCGGGGCTATTGGGAGAATTAAACTCTACAATATACTTTATTTAAAAGTTTTATAGGAACACCTGTTAAACAAATCCTACACGGTAATATTTCCCAGAATTTGTTTATCATATATTTATTATCAAACTTTTGTTATAATCGATGAAATTAATTGTTGTTCACAATATGAACTGGAAGTACGGTATACAAAAGAAGAAAAGTCGTCGACGAAAGTTTTTGGAAAAATATTTATATACATACATACTCATATGCATATGTTTTTAAAAAAAGCATAGACTTGGTCTATTAGATTCGCTTGTATTAAGCAAAGGCTGGTGTTTGAAACTCATTAAAGGATTATGTTTGTCGTCTCTGGTTTTTAAGATACCAAAGGCACAAATTTAGGGCACTTAAAACTCTACGCTAGCAAGTAACCATCGTATAACTGATAATAAATCTAAGTAAATGATCTTTTTCATTATCTATTTAACTTAATGAAATTAATGTGCTTTGTGACTAGAATTCCTCAAAAGATGTAAATTCAATATTTTTACAAAAAAATCAACATGATACTTTTAATGATTAATTCGTACATTCATTTTTGTGTCTTATTTACTTTATAGGAATTCATACATAGTGTAAATACTTGTTTTAAAGGGCTGGAAAATTATCAAAAAAGTTTCATTTCAAATTTGCAAGTAGACATACAAATACATATTTATATAAAAAAGAACTTAAAAAAAACTCAGATCAAATAGAGAGACAAGTACCATACCCAACAAAAAATTTGTAATAATTAATGTCTCCTTTTACATCAACTACTGCTTTACATCGGCTTATCATTGAGGTCACCAGATTCTTTCTTGTTGAGCAATATAAAGTTCTACCATATATTTTTTGAGAAAGATTTCAGCCGCTTTATAAGAAGCATTTACCGCGGGGGAGAAGTTTATGATAACAAAGGCAACAGCAAATTTAAATTAATAAATTAAGAGAACTACTATATGTAGGAAAGAAAAGTGGTTAGGGCAAATCTCAATATTGTTTTCCAACAAATGGAGGGCTCTACAGTTCATACTAAGCTGCCTCCGAACAGATGATATGTGTGTTATGAGGAGCTTTTATTTTATGTCAGAAGTACACTCGAAGGGGCGCCCACAATTACAAAAATTTAATTAAATTTTCGTACTGGGAAAATTTGATTTAGTAAAAACTAGCATATATGAAAAACGTTTAAAATTTAAGTAATTTTAATTCTTTAATTCGAGCTCAGCGCCCAGTAAACATTCTGGAATTTATTGAATTGCTGCTTACTGGCCTTCTACATACCGTGACAGAGTTTCTTCATAAAAATTTTTGCTTCCTTCCTTTGAATTACGTTCTTTGAGAAACTGTTTATTTAGTGCAGAGGGCTGAAATAAATTTATTTCATAACCCAAAAAATCTGGTATATTGTCATCAAAAGCATTTTGAAGTTGAAATACTTTTAAATTTTCGTGATTGATTTTATTCCATTCACAGCAGTTGACCGATCAGCAGCAAGTAGTGTAAACATTTTACGCTCACTAATATGGCGAGCGCTCACTGAGCAAGCTTACTGAGCGCTCAGTTCGCTGAACGTACCCAATGATTCTAACTATATTAAAGGCACTCATTAAACAAAAATGTGGTGGCAGTGGAGTGGCATCATCGCCCGCACACCACGCAGCTTCCGTAGAGAAATTAGAAGTTAGGAAGGCATAGAATTAAAACATATTATTATTTCTAGTACAACGGTTAATTTTGGATTTCTATAGTTTACCAGAAAGCAGTGGCGACCAAAGGGAGCGACGACAATGCAAAAAATGAAATATTAGAAACATAAAGTTCTTTCTTGGTCTTCATTTAAACAGAATCGAATAAACTCTATACTCAACTAAACTCCACATTATGAGTTAATTTGGCCAGCTTGCAAGGAAATAGAATTTCAAACTTAATTTAGTATTTCAGGCATCCTTACTGAAAAGCTGAGCGAAAAATTGCAGCAAAGAGAGCTCTACATCAATACTTGTCCTTTTAGAGGACTTTTGGAAAAACATATTTAAATCTTTATAAAGCGTATAAAATTTCATCACTGTCAAACTTTACTTAGCATGTCATGCAATTGCCAATTTTATTAAAACCAGAAATGATAAACTGTAAAAATGAACGGATTCAAAATTAACCGCCTAATTAAACAGGTGTTGTACAAGTTTCTGGCTAATTTTTACTGGATTATGTTCGTTGAAAAGTAAATTTCTTCCTTTCGGAGAGTAAAACATCTTACTCTCTCAATTTCGTTACTTGCTTGTTTTTACAGACATTTCTCAGCGAACAAAGCTATAACACTTACCTTGACTATCAGTCGTTCTGACTGGTTTGGTTAAAGTATTTTCGTTTGCTAACATTTTGGCGCAGTCTTCTGCAAATAAAAATAAAAATACAGAGTATTAGCTAGTTGGTATATATTTGTAAAAACTTTGTGAAAGCTTCAATTCCAATTTTTTTCAATAAATTGTGTTTTGTACTTTCCCATACGATTTCAGAGATTGTGAAAATAATTGAATTAATTAATTTCTCACTCAAAAACTTATAGAAATTTATATAATCAGTGCTTGACAAATGCTGAACCGATTTTCGGCCGAATTTTTATTACACATAAATTAATTTCAACCGCTTCTGCTCAAAGATGCAAAGATGAGAGAACGTAAAACATAAAAGATTGTAAATCTGACTCTATAAGACAGTCAACACCGTTGCAAACAATGCACCTTAGTCGTATCACTACAATAATCACATCTGAATTGTATTCTTACCTATAAGAAAATACACACATTTATTCCAGTTACAAAAACCCTAAATACAAGAAGTAATAAGTCGACCCATGGTTTAAATTCAGAAATACGAAGTATATACATACATACATACGGGTAAATATATAACTGGCGCTTTATAACCGTTGAATGTATTTTCGGTTGAACTTCCGCTTCGATATGCGTATTAATGTTTTTCTAAGGAGTGGAGTACTCATAGTATTTTTCTAAGCCATCTTAGAACGATTGCCAGATTGTTATCGGAAACTTTTTATTTCATGTGAGAAATACTAGAATTGTAGTATAAAATATGTTAATATAAATTATTAGTATATAAGAGCCCACTACCGCCAGACCGAAATCATTTTATAAAAGTTGAATTTTGGGTAGTGTTTACAGATAACAACGGTCTAAGGTGCAAAAAACACCACCTGAAATACATTAAAGTAAAACGCTGATTGACATTTTCCTCCGCATGACTTCTAAAGTGACAACACTCATTGCAATGGCCCAAACTCCCCCCTGCAGACCTACAAAACCCTGAAAAGTTGACTCGGAGACAAAGAACAAAAATGCATATCTAGGGGTTGAAGTATAGAAAATTTTTTCGATATATGTAAATACATGTGCAGGTTTGGCTAGGACGAGGCTAGCGATTTTGAGTACTTGCAGCACTCAAAAACAGTTGATCAGGGTTCCAATTCTTAAAATATTTACGGGGATCATTCAGGAAAAGTCTGTATTTTAAGAAATTCAGCAGGGAAAAGCAGCTAAAAATGTTCTGGCAATGGTTTTCGAGATAGCGATAGCAGTAATGTGGTCGTGAAACCTGCATTGGGCGGCAGCAATTAATGGCGAAAAATCTTATTTATTTAGCACGCTGTCGCCAAATTTTGGAACTACTTCTCAAAAGAGTTGGAAATTACAAAATGGGCACATCCAATGCACTTTCACTAGATATTTTTCGAAAGTATCACAATTCGTAGTCCAGACAAAAAGGATTCAAAGCAATTATGTTATGAGAAATTTAGAAATAAATAAAAAAAATCCGGCCAAATTAAACCTTAAATTATCGCCAACCCAGGGATGATTATGAGACATTCTTTTACCTCTACCTTATTTGTTGAGGATATCTCCCGGCGGGAAAAATTCCGTTCAGGGTACCTGGAACTTTTCACCACGCAAGATGGATAGCAAAAGCCATTTATGTAAAAGCATGGTTATCTGCCTACGAGTGCACCCAAGACCCAAATTCATTAAATCGTTAATTGTGTACAGTTAAATTATTATCAAAATAATAAAAAAAATCTGTAGAATGCTAACCGGGACAGGTGGTTTTTGCCTTTGTCGATGATACCTTGAAAAAAATAATCGAAACAAGAATAGTCAGAAATAGATGTTGTGGAGAAAAATTAAAATTATTTAAAAGACGAAGATAAATACAATAACAAAAACAGTATATGTTACAAGTTGTATTTTTGTGTATGATTTTTTTCTCACTTTTCAATGTTCGTAATGGAATAATGAAAATTTTTAAATGTCGCCAGCTTGGAGAGCAGGGTTGTGAAACATATTTCATTCCATTGGTATGCCTTCTCCTGAAGTATAAAACACTTTTTCGTTCTTTCAAATGCCTGTTTTAGAATGTGATTGTTAAATTTAACAGGCAGTCAAAGCGTTATTTTATATTCATGAGTTTGAGGAAAGGTTTGAAAAGCCTCTGTGCGCCATATTGCAAAGAGAAATTTAAGAATTTTTTTATTTACGTTTAAAATAGCTGATTTATGCTTTTCCTTTTTTCTCCTTCGCAGCATTGCTAACTTTTTTCTAATATTAATTAAACAATTAACATAAGGTCATGAAAATGAAAATTTAAATTTAACTGCCGGTTTCTTGATCCTCACATTAACAGGCACTCGAAAAAATGGCTCTTAGAGTTATTAATTTTTTTCTTATTTTTTTCTAATTGAAAAAAAGTAATAAATTACAATAAAAAAAAAATAATAATAAAGCACAGCAACTAGGCCATCGGCTTTTGATGTTATCATTAATGAGTTTACATTAAATTTCAAAGTAAAAATTTTATTTTGATTACAGAATTGACAAGTCCTGTTTCGTAAATTGTTATTGTGGAAAAGGTTGCTGTGGGTAATGCGAGTGTGGCCAAGACGAAAGCGGGTGTATGTTACTGTGTTTCGCTTCGAAATTGTTGCAGGGAAGATTGGAGGAACTAGATTTGGGCTGATGCATTTCGAATGATGATTTCTCTTATTGAATTATCATCTCTCTCTGAAATTTCCCAGCTTTGTATTATCATACTGGCGTGCTATAAATAATTCCATAAGCTATCTCAATTCAGATGTGTCGGATAAATAATGAAAAATTATGGTATTTTGTGCTGCACAAAGTTCATAGAGTCCATAAATTCATTTAAGATTCTCAATGAGTTTATAAACAGTGGTTAGTCGAACCTTCCGCAGACCTATAGGTTTTCAGATATTCAAAGTTGAAACCGCAAAAAAAATTTGATTTTTACCCTATTATTTTGTACATAAAGCAATTACTCTGAATTTTGGTGTTGCCACATATAAAAACGAAATACTAAAATAAAAAAACAACTAGAATACAATTTTAACACTAGCTTCGCCTTGCACAGTATTTTCCGTCATACTTTTCATGAAGTATAAAAATGTGATTTTAAAATATTTTTGTGTACATAAAACCCTGTACAGTAGTTTTTTTTTATTTTTACGTAATATGTCAACACACACTTATTTCCATTATCGGACATTTCTCTTGAAAATCATTTCGAAATAATATACAAAAATAAAATATTATTTTACTGCTAACCAAATAAAATAAAAAAACAACTTTCTTTGTAATCGCATGTGAACAGATTAAAGTTACTATTTTGCTAAGTAAAGATTTGTGATGAAGGTGTAAATTTTTTAACATCAAATTATCTATAATTTGGCAAAATTTATGTTCAAAATATAATAAACAAACATAGATTAGATCAACAGCAACAACTCCGGCAAATTTTATTAGGATTGGTCAATTGGTTTGGCTGAAACAAGCATTGGACCAATAAATGAAAGCACAGCCTGCCTTTATTTAAAAAATTAATATTTTTTTCTATCTCCCTGTTGTCAAGGAAAGTTATACATATATGAAATTTCATGCCCATAGCTTCATTAATAAAGAAGATATAGTGTCAAATATTTTCCCAATTTCGGCAAGCTTTTCTATGGAAGTAATCAAGCAAATATATTTATTTATAATTTATTAGGATTTCATTGGAATCAAAAAAATAGAAATTTAATTTTTGAACGTTAAGTTTGTTTTACTTGATTTAAAAATAGTTGTGTAAATTAAATTTACTTCACCAGAAATGAACTGCAAATCAGTACATGTAGTTATAGTTTTATTAAAAAAAATGCTTCTAACATTTCTCTACGGCTAGAAAATGTGTGTAGATTTATAATTTGTAATATACGGAAGAAACTCCTTGACTGAATCCCATTGGAAATGACGCTATACGAACAGACTATAAAGCGGTAATTTTAAACTATATGTATTTCAAGAGCATATTATTTTTGATGAGAGAAATTTAAAGTTAGTTTTTTTTATATTTCGCAATTGAATTTGGAATTTTAGCGCATAGGTTACATTGTTTGAAAAAAACTTGGGCAGCGAAATGGAAGGCGGAGCGTAACAAAATAAGTAAGTTCGTTTTATTTGTTTAATAAGTCACGAATAATTGAACCTCATTGTGGAAAATATGCCAGGCCGACGAAAAATGGTTGATGAAAACGCTATCTTCCAAACTAAACAGATAATTTTCTCCTCGCAAAATTGTTAACATGCCCCATTTCGCACTTTCATCTTCAATAAATTCTAGGTATAAAATATGCCTATACATTTTGGTTTTTATTCTTTCTGAAATTAACAACATAAAATCAAACAGCAGATTGTTTATTACTTCCTATTGCGCGGGTAACAAAACTCAGAAGGGACAGTGAACTTAGAATGCAAAATAGTATCAAAATTTACTGAATGGTTCACTTTAATACCAATGTAAATTTTATTATCTCGACATAATAGAACTGATAATCATTACTTTTGAGCGAAAATGGTAAAATCGAAAAGTAAAAATTATATCTGATCTAATCTATTTTTTTGATAAAACTTATATTAACTCTGATTATTACTATTTGTAAGCTTGATTAAAGAATTTGTTATTTTAATCGGGTAATAGAATTTGAAATTAAAATTTTCTATTTAAAAAAATGGATTTTTCATGTTACAGCAGCAACAATGGGCGAATTGAGTTTTGGACATCTCGATTGAATGATTGCACAAACTGAATTCATGTGTAACAGTTTTCGGTTTCTGTATTATGACTACAGTGGAAATCATATTTAAGTAAAAAATCAGAGTTCAAACTTTTTCAATATTTAATATAAAACTTGTGACATTTTTTGACATCTGTAGGCATATTTATTACAAAAATTTATGCCTTTATGGCATATGAGATTCTTTAACTTTAGAACGCTTTCCAGTGCGAACAACTTAAAGTATATGTTCCATTTCGACCAAATATTGGTATGGCAGGATAGTTATCTAATATTTATTTGTGTTATGCATTCATGTCGAAGAATATTGACATCGTATCGAACCACGGAAGTCATGCCAATGCACTAGATCGCATTAGCATAACATACAAATATATATTATTTATACCAGTTTTTACCAGCGATTTCGGTCGCATGAAATTTCAAAATGGTTCTTATTAGATTTTGAATTGTTTGTTTTTTTTTGTAATATGTTTTATTTTAAAATGTTTTATTTGTTAAAATGTTTAAGCAGCTATAAAATAAAAAGGAATATATTATTTTTCAAAGAGATGGCGTTATTTATGTGTATCTTGCGTTTATAAGTCCGATCGGGGTTTCGTTAGATGGCGTTTGGAAGGTGATATTTCGTACCAAATAAAAAAGCTTTTCCGATTATTTATTGATTGGTTAATTCACTTTTGTTTGTGCGTCAAAGATGGACACCAGCAACGAGAACATGGGCTTTATATTTTACACTTTTTCTTCGACAATGGTGAAAACGCAAGCCAGCCGGCTGAAACTGTGAATAGCGTTTATGGTCCCAATATATGGTCCTAATACAGTCAATCATACACAATTTCATTCCGATGTAAAAGATACTACACGAAGTGGAAGGCCAATTGTCGAAAATGTCGATAAAATCATGAACATTGCCAAGTCCACCGTTTCAACTGCCCAAGTTCTAAAGATTGCACAAAAAACTGTTTGGAACCATTTAAATATGGCTAGATATGAAAAGTAAAAAACTAAAGACTTCATTTTCATCCAAAAATAATGGATTTCTTTTTACTACATCCAATATAAGTTTTTGATTCCAAATATCAAGTAAATCAAACCTTATATAATTTTTTTAAATGGAACGATTGCTGACCCACTTCCTGGAAAGAAATTGTATCCACATTTTAAATATCAAGTAAAGCAAGTCACAAATACTAATTTCTTTGGTCGATTTTCTTTTCTTCCGTATGCCTACGTCATAAACAGACCTCGCCATCCAAATTTAATGTCTCTACGATTAGCGGCTTTAGCTGTGCTTTGCACTAATGTTCCCCGCATGCTCTTAGTTAATGTAAAAAAATCTCTCAAAACTGAAGAGATTTATATTTCGAATATTAGGCAAATCGAACCAAAAATTCGATTTTATTTTTATGGTCCACTTCCAGGAAAGAAAAGCTCGTACAACCTCATTACCTGAGTCATTTTAAGTTGGCACTAAAGAAACAGTAAAACCTCAGCGCGTGCCCCTCTAGTCCCTTACATTTTGTTTTTTATTTCGAAAGTTTTTTTTATTTATTTTTAAACAAGCAGTACGTGCTACCACACGGAAGGGCAAGGGTTAAAGCTTGTATATAACAAAAAAAAGTACTAATTTTCCTAATTAACGACGCTCTTCAGCCACTCTCTTCTAACGACTTTTATGAATAACTTTTTATATTCTGACTTGACTTAAAAAAATAATAATTATTAAAATTAGACTACGTGGGAACTATATATGCCTGATACGTTGAAAGTTGTGAATCATTCCCTTATCCTGCCTTTAGTTGAGAGGATCATCTAACCATAGCTTAAAGGTGAAAAACAATTTTCAGAAATAGAAGATCATAGAAAAAGAGGAAATGTTCTCGAAATGTACTAAATCCGAAGTTTTCCTAAACTTTTTACGAATATGATTTTTTTCCAAAGGATCATTTCGAACTTGGCGAATAGTAACAAGCGAAATAAGAAAATTGACGCATTCGGATGCAAAGAAATTCCATTGCTTCAAACTTCGCAAAGCTGACTACATCTGGTTCAAGTTAAGTTCCATAGAAAAAAAATATATAATGGCAGCACTGTAAAAGTGTAATTCTTTGAACCTTGGTATTCGAAACACTTTATTTTTGATATGATAATATTCAAGTAAACATTCGGTAGCAGTTTTTTGATCCCACAGGAGAAAACTCATAGTTGCGCAGATACCATTCGTATTACAATACATGATTTTATAGTTAGTAGTTATAGACAATTTTCTTCAAAAATATATAGAAACAAAAACTATAGAGGACAAATTTGATTTGAATTGCTACATATTACAAAATTAACAAAACTGAACCAAATTCAGTCACTAAACATATAATATGATTTTGATGTTGTCTTGAACTTCTTCAATAATCTTTGGCAATTACATAAGTTTGTAGCATTCATTGTACAGCGCTTGTAATTTCATATCCGCCCTGCTGTATTGCTGATTCGACTATAATCGCGTATGCAAAGCACTAAAAAATTATGAATACTATTGTAGTTTCGCAGACAGAACCCTATAATTGCATTTTATACATCCATATTGGTTTTATGACTGATTTGTATAGTAGGATTTTATGTTTCGAGCAGTATAACCAATTCAGCTGCCGGTTTTAAGATTGAGATTCTGCATTTCGCCGAGGTATTTAACTTCGCTTACTTCAGGAATCATTAAGTTATTTAGTTCCAGTATTGGGCATGTTACTGTCTTTAGAGCGAAATTGACCGAATTGAAGACTTGGAAAAATCTGGAAAGAATTTACAGCAAGTCAATTGGCCGGGTTTTGCTATCATGATAATCTGAGACTTTCCCACGTATTCCGAAAATATTCAAGTTCAAAGACGACATTAAAAAGTTGGGACAAAAAATTGAAAGTAACATTTGGCAAAGAGATTTTTATATACATATGTATGTACATATTCTTACGTCGGAAATAGACCTAGAGTCATAGTGGCAAAGATGGTGTCGTAAAATTCTACATTGCAGTATTGGGTTCGAATACTTTGCAAAGCATTTTCACTTTTTTTCTTCCAATTTCTTCGGATAAAACCTATTATTTTCTTTTACATACACATATACACAAGAAAATATTTAAAATTAAAAATACATTCTAAAACTACTTTTTAAATATTTTAAATTCGCTGCCACGACTGTCCAGAGAAATGCAAGAATCCCCTATGTATGAGTTTGCCCAGGCGGCCACCATAGCCGAGTGGTTAGCATTGCGTACTGCTATTCGTTAGGACAGGGTTCAATCAACCGTTCGGAGGTAGCTTAATATAAACTGTAGGTCGCCCCACCATTTGTTGAAAAAAATCAAGACGTACACCATAAACAGAGAAGGAGCTTCGCCGAAAATCGTTTAAGCTGTTACAAAGGACCAATTATATATGTATATGTATATACATATGTCTATTATATATTATTTTTTACGACGAACCCAGCGTTACCCACCTCGCGCCCAACCGACCGAGGGGCGCGTCTGAGGGAAATCGAAAAATCCAAGAGATCGGTGATCGAAAGCCAGTAACAGTCCGGACTGCCCCTTCTAAACTAAACAGCTACAGATTTGTTCATCAGCTGCTGTAAAATTGCATGGGGAAAAGACAAAAAAGCGAGTCAGAGGAAATGTGTATTAAAATCGTTACACACAGATCTAAAAGGGTCGTGCATTTCAAGTTTGTTCTGCACCAGCCCAATAAAAGGGCCTAAAGTGTCTAGATGATCTTAATGGGATGGTAAAGTTAAGCTCGCTAATTAGGAAAGGGCTATTGATAGCACCTCTTATCAATTTAGTTAAAAATAAAACTCCAAGCATCTTTTTCTTTGTAAGTAGGCAGGTTCTTGTCCGCATCCCATATAAAAGTACATTTGTATATGCCCAAATTTAAAAAAATATTAATTTAAGTTTATATGATATAAAAACCAAAGCGAATTATAATCGAAACTAAAAAATATGTCTGATTGTCATTTTTCGAATATACTCTATAATATAATCCACTGTAAGTACGCCGTGGACTATTTTTTCGGGTTAATTATATATCTTGGACGAGTCAAACCACATTAAGTTACTGCAGCAGAGATTTCAACCTTTGTCATTCTTTTATTTTTCTTTCGCACTGGGAATGCCTATATTTTGTTTTTATTTTCTGTTATTATTTTACTTTACGAATGTTTTAAATTTGTAGCAAAAATGATCAAAGTCTTCTTTAGCGAATTTTACGACATACTTGGGTCCAAAAAGCTTTGTTTACAAAATTTCTTTGTTAAACAGAACCAACAAGTGACTTGTTGCTTGACTTTACTGAGTCTTCCAACGTGTCACCTGAAAAATTACTCAATGCTACTCTTCCCCAATAAGCTACATAATTTGTTTTTGAAGCTAATACCCTCATTCTGTTTTACTTTTATCTCCACTTAATTCCTATTCCTATTTTTTTTATTGATTCCTTTGAGTGTAATTTTTTAATATATGTAAGTGTATGCCTCATAAAACTAGTAGTGGCTTTAAAAAAAATGTTTCGAGTAAAATTACCTTCGAAAAACGATCTTTCCATTTCTTGGTATGGCGGAGAGGCAATGTCTGCAAAAGAAGAAAATTCTTATTACAACATAGTAAAGGAGATATAAGTTCTGTTCGGTTACCTAATGGGCATTAACAATATTTACGGAATTTTTCTGAATTGTGATCGGTGAACCAAAAACCCAGTAAAACTAGTAGCGAGAAATCATTGTGATCATATGAATGCATTTTTGTCAACAAACCAAAGTTAATATTAAATGAAAATAATATTAATACTTGAGTGCCCAAATAAAATTTTGTTAAATTAAATTGAATGATATCAACGGTTCAGTTAAGTAGTAGAGATCCTCATTAAATAAGAATATGGTGGCAATGGAGTGGAATCGTTGCCCGCACATTACCCATACTACGATTGTTGAAAGCATATAATTAAAATATATTATTATTTTTTGTTCCACGAAAATTAATTTCGTGTTAATAAAATTAATTTCGTGTTAATAAAATTTACTAAAAATCAGTGTCGATGAAATGAGCCATAAATATTGCAAAGCAAGGTTGTTGCAACGGCCACGATGCATTCTTGAGCTTCCGGAAGCGACGATGATGCAAAAAATGAAATATTAGTAGCTCTTTCTGGGATTTTATTTAAACAGAATCGAAGAAAGTCTATAATAATGTTTAGTTAATACTTCAGGCTTACTCGGCAAAATAATTTCAAACTCATTTTCGTTGGTACACCAAAACTAAGCTCTCTAGAAGATTCTTACAGGCCTATTGTGTCGAGGTAACAAAATTTACCATTCAGTATTTTTGTTACTATTTTGTATTCTGAGTTCACTGTCACCCTGTAAATTTTGTTACCAGCGAAATAGGAAGTAACAAAAATATCTGCTGTTTGATTTTGAGAAAAAATAAAAACCAAAATGGGTAGGCATATTTTAAGCCTGGAATTCATTGAAGATGAAGAAAAAAGTACAAAAAGCCGTATTTTAAGAAGTTTTCGAGACAAAAAAATAACCCTTTAATTTGTAAGATAACGTTTTCATTCGGATTTTTTTGTTATCCAGGCATATTTTCCACAATTAAGTTCACATATTTATGATTTAACAAACAATTGAATCAAACTTTTTAATTTTTAGTCTTCCATTTCGATGTGAATATTTTTCTTTTTACTTTATGAACTGGCAAATGTAATTTGACATGGACGAAAAAAACAGTGCTGCCAAATTTTTTCAAATATTGTAACCAGTTCGCCAGAATACTTAATTCAATTTCGGGTGTTAAATAAAAGTATGATAACAAAATTTACTTTACCGGTAACAGTGAGAATAGGCCTGTTAGAAGAGTTATTGGAAATATTGCATTCCGAAAGTTTGCAAGTGCCATTGCCTGAGCAATAGTTAATTGAAAAGAAATGACGATTTAACAATAAAAAATGAGTTTTTAGGCATTTATAGCTACTTTGGAATAGTGTACATATATGTCAGAATGTCAAAACTCAAATGGCAGGAAGTAATTAGCGAGTGACTAAAGTTGTGCAATTTAGACTCCACGCGTAAACATTCATTCTCCCCCCAGACAGCTTAGTCGTCTTGAAGCCCATTGGCGTCGCTATCCGGCTCAAAGGACCGAAGCGATGGAGGAGAATGTAGAATATATTTAGGTGAGTCGTATCAAAAATTTAGTGAAACGCAATTTCCGTTCAACATCTGAAGCACAGCCATCAGAAAGCAAGAACTCAAATAGCAGGAAGCAATTATCCAAACAAAAAACAATAATAAGCCGCCCGGCGAACACGTGGCCTAATGGGAAAGCCATTGGCCAATGTTGTGGATATCCCAAGCTTGGATCCAATTGGAAAAAGGTCCAGCTATAACATTTATCGTCCAAACTGTTGTTGATTCCACACTTCTGTGAGGACTTTTTCACCAAATATTTTAAGGAATTTGTTGTACTTAAGACGCACGTTTTCTATTTTTTCTGAAAAGAAAAATTGGCACAACTGAGCTAATAAGTGTGGTCTTTCACTTACGATCAATGCTGCTAAGGACATCTTGTACCAAAAGTATGCCCCGTGGCAATTTTTCGCTGAGCAAACTTGTGTAAGCGCTCTTCATATTTGTGACATTTCTGTATTATGAATTTGGGCTGATGGATGCTAAAATTATACAAAATATTTAAGCTCTAGAGAACAGTTTGAAACCTCAAGGCGCTTTTGTGGCGACATGAACTTCAATAGAATACTTTGGAAAATTTCTTCTTTTTTTTGTACCCTGAGTCTCCGTTATCTGAAAACTTCAATAAAAAGGGAATAGTTTTAAGAAAATTATCTGACTATGGCTTCAGAGCTTTCCATGTTTGTTTACAATTTCTTTGGGGTACCATACCAGCGAGATATTTCAATGTGCCCGTCTGAGAAGGAGTATTAACGACCAGAGTTAAAATGAAATAAGTGAAAAGTTGTTTAACTTACATATCATACATACAACCACATACATATAGTCAAAGACAAAGGTTTAAATACACCTATAAAATTCCAATGTAAGAATGCAGTTTATTTAAAGTAGGTATTTAATCAACAATGTAATTCAATAAAACATTACAAGTTGCGTAGATAACGGTAAATTCCTTGAAAATATAAAATCATGCCGGAAAAATCAAAGAAAAATACGCATCGCATGTGCTTTGCAAGTTATTTTGAAATAAAGTACCGTTATATTCAATGATTTAGGGACTTATACATATTTACTCGGTGTTGGACGCAACTTCTTCTCCATCAGTGTACGCTAAGAAAAAAAAGACAGGGAGTGGTTTTTAACAATTTAATGACTAACCATTTTCAAGAAGGAACATCTTACCATATAAAGGAAAAATTCTTGATAAACGATGCGTGTGCAAAATATTGTTCGAGTAACAACTCACAAATCTGATGACAGTAGGCCAACATCTTGGCGTCCAAGGAAATGAATAAAAATCCAAAATAATTGCTCCAAAGTCAGCCGACAGCATCGCTAAAACAGAGAAGTTTACGGGGAAATATTTATCAAAGCAGAGTTCCAGGTAAAAATCCTCTCATGTCTGAGAGAAATAAGCAACTCTTCGCCTTGAATTCGCAAATAAATACAGGGATATAGATGAATTATTTTGGAGAAGAGTTCTTTTTACGGGCGAATCGAATTTGATACAAACGTCAAGCACGATGAAGGTAGCGTGAAAAATTTGGCGAACGATTGGAACAACTTCCGTAGGATATTTAACGTTTATCAATGGAATAACGAACAAGTATGTTTACAAAAGTATTTTGGAACAACACAGGCAGTGGATTACTTGGATTTCGGAAATTCGTAGATATTTCAACAAGACAACGACTCTTACCATACCGCAGATCATGAAACTTGCACCCCATTGAGCATATTTGGAAGCTATTGGCAAGAAACATTTATAATGCGACTTCAGCGAGCAAATACGCCTTGGAAGAATCTCTTTAAAAGGCATAGTCGAAAATTACGCCACCCCGGAAATAGAAAATTTGGTTCTATCTACGCCACGTCGTCTAAATGCAGTTAAAGCAGTTATAGAAATAAATATTAAAATGAAAATTGTTTTAAACCCCTTAATTTTTAGTTTAATTTAGTCGAAACCGTTATCTACGCGACTTTGAATATTTTGTTGGATTGCATTCTTGATTAATTACGTATTTTAAGAAAACTGCATCTCACATTTATTTTTAAATACTTATTAGAATAAAAATTGAAATTTCATAGGTTTATTTAAATTTTTGCCTTTGACTGCATGTATGCTGTGGCTTTCTGTAATTTGTAGAATTTGTATTCACATTGATATTGCTAGGAATTACAAAGCCCCCTTATCAAGCATCATATAATACCCAATAATAATTTTTTTATTATATTCATCGCTACTCAAAGCCGGCACGTAAATGGCAATCGGATCTACGAGGTGTGTTCAAAAAATATCGTGAACTTTGTGTTTTTTCAAAAATTATTTATTTATTCATGAATATCTATTTTGTCCCCTTCAAATTAGTCCCCATGTGCCAACGGTTTTTCCAATCTTCGAAGCACTTCAAAAAATAATTTTTTTATCCTATTCAGCTCCTCCTTCGATGCCGTCTTTATCTCGTCAATCGTAGTGTTGCGTCGTCCTTTCATGGGCCTCTTCAGTTTAGGGAACAAGAGAATCCGGGCGTTTCTGGCGGATTGCTTCGCGCAAATTGCGCATAAATTGCAGGTAATATTCGTTATTGACCGTTCTACCCTGTGGCAAGAACTCATGATGCACCACGCCCCTGTAATTAATTTTTTCGTCTGTTGTTGAAGTGCTCGGACGTCCGGCACGCTCTTCGTCGTTCACATCTTCTCGGCCTTCTGAGAACATTTTGTACCACCGACGTTGCTTTGGTCCAAGGTAGCTTTTCCGTATGCCACAGTCAATATTCGGAATCCATCCGAGCACTTAATTTTGTTTTTCACAAAAAATTTGATACAGGTTTTTTGATCCATTTTTTTTAATAGGTAAAAATTGAAAACCATCCAAAACACGTGCAAGCAAAACAGCTGTCAACAATTAAGTGAACATTCAAAATGGCCGAGGTTATCGGCATAAGTGACAGACATGAATACCAACATAACGCCATAAAAAAATCGAAATTCTATTATACGTGACCCGCGAAAATTCAAAATTCGTTATACTTTTTGAACATACCTCGTATGCTGTAGCGTATAAGAACTTGTAACAGGTAGCCGCAGAATAATAGCATTGCGCAGCGAACATACTTACAAACAATCCATGTTTGGTACAAAAATTTTGACCAAACACTGGGAAATTTTTTTTTTTTTTTGATGGTTGGTGATAGAAGTGTGAAAAACAACGGTTATAAGTATTTCGTAATGTCACATCCTATAAAAATTAAAAAAAAAAAAAATTTGTGGGTGGACTACACTTATCACTTAGAGGTGTGAAAAATCTATGTTATGTTATTCTCAGGCCTACTGAACATGCACATATCATCATAATACATATATGATTCATTAAAATCGGTCAAAGCAGTTTCGAAGGAGTATCGTGGCCAACATATTTGTCCGTGCGACAAATCCACTCCTCAAATCCACTCCGGTTACATTAAATATTTGCACCTGTGACTTGTTTATGATCGTTCCACAACAAACTAAGGCGATAAATCGCTAGGAATCATCGGTATTATCGGCATTAAAGTCATTTGCTCAGTACCACAACCAGTTGGATCGCCTCAACGGATTCAATTTCTTTTACTTTTTATCCGTAGCCGAGTTTCATTGCATAACATAGATGGGTTTGAGTTTCCCAATAAAAAAAAGTACAATCTACATATGTATGTATATTAGAAGAAATTGATGAAATATTTTCCGCTTTAAATTATTTGTCAAATCTGGATTCCCTGAATTTTACGCAGAAACCGATAGAGTTTAAATAAATAGCTTTCAACCTACATGCATATGTACATATAATACACGGTGTGTCCCAAAAATAACCGAACTTTTTGGATATAAAATAAAGTCTTTGAAAGTTATTACTTATTCAAAATACACAACGTTTGGAACGATCAACCAGCGCATGCATAGATTTTTTATGCCATTTATAGAAATGTTCTTTAGTACCTCGGCTATGGCTGCTTGAATGGCTGGGATATCATCATAAAATGCTCCCTTCATCTTGGTTTTCAGTTTTGGAAATAAAAAATAGTCACATGGTGATAGATCAGGCGAATACGGAGGATGGTCGATGAGAGAAATCCCTTTTTTCATTAAAAATTCGAGCGATTTTTTGGTCGTCAAATCGCGCACAGACCTTTCTTTTCCCCAAATCTTCAGTTAAAATTCTCCAAATAGTGTTTTTACTCGTATTCAATTCCTCAGCCAACATTCTCGTAGTAAAATTTGCATCGATACCAATGATTTCACGGACTTTTTCCACCAGTTCAGCACGATTACTAGTTTCTGGACGTCCTGCACTAGGGTCGTCATTTAAATCCTCACTACCATTTTTAAATCGTGTAAACCACGTATAAACTTGCGTACGACTCATACAATAACAAAAAATAATAATTTCATTAATTTTTTTTTTTCAAGTTTGACACAAAATTTTATATTTGCTCTTTGTTCCATTTTATTTTTGAACCATTAGCACACTTTTGGTTTTATTGAAATGGCTGTCACTTTTACATCTGCCATCCGACTTACATGATGTTAGGTGCATTTGAAAGAGGATGAATGTATCTTTTTAATGTTGCAAATTTTTAATAGATGGCGCGCTGTATGCTGTATGATTTAAATATAAAGTTCGGTTATTTTTGGGACACACCGTGTATGTATGTATGCATATATATTAACAATTTCGACACCAGTGCTGAAGCAGTAAAGATATAAGTGATAACAAAACAAAATGTGAAAAACAGAACACAACTATGTGTATTAAATTTGGTATTTCGCTTAATATTTGAAGCCAACAGCAATATGAGAAAAAGTGAATCGTTCGATCTTGTAGTTTGTTGTAGTAGCGAAACTCGATCGAGGCCCAAAGATAATCAATATGCTTCTCTCTTTGCCATAGGATCTCAGCCGCTTAATGAAATCAGGCACGAAATCCATCAAATATAAATTTGTTCAAAAGTGTGAAAACACACTGGCAGCTGGCAACATTTCGCCGCTCTCAGTAGCGTCGATGACTCGTGTATGTATTTCGCTCTTCCAGTCGTATGTTATGGACGGATGGTATGTAAGATGGGTAGTTGCAGCATAAAATATACGAAAGCAAAATTTAAAGAACAATTTAGTCATCACGAAAAAAGAAAGTAAAAGAAAATGACTAAACAAATACAATATAGTAGTGTGCAGTAGTGCTTCAATACTCGTATATGAAGGCCTAATAGTAGTATAAATGTGGTATGTAAGCAGTTCCTGCCCAACCATACCATCCGAATGGAAGAAGGATTGGTATACACAACTTATTAAGTTACTTGTAGCGGTGGAACGTTGCCACACTTACATACTTTCACACAAATTTATACATACATATGTATGTATGCTCGAATATAAACTAATTACATATTCAGTCAGCTGATTCTGTTTAATGGAAAAAACAAACCGTCGCTGGTTTCTGCGGGACAAACGTCAGTGACGGCAAGCGATGGTAACTTTTCAATTACATGGCGCTATCATAAGATAAGTTGCGACCAATGCTTACTTTAATATCTCTGAGAGCACTCACCAGCAACACGGTATGAGGGAAAGTGTGGAGCGGAATTTCAAGCTCCCTACGTACAGCCGCAAACAAAATTAGTAGATTTCGGAAAGATCGTAAACGCAGCTGGTGCGATGAGGACTACCGAGTCGCAGTGGAAGGTATGGAGAGTAAGCATACCGCCTTCCTCGCAAAGTTGCAATCGACCAAAGCGCGTACGATACCAATAACTGAAGCAAGGCGCATTTGCAGGCAAATAAGAAAAAGGACGAGAAGCGTGAGTATTAAGAATTTGAGAAGCTGGCCGACAAGAGTAATGTTCTATGAAAAGATACGACGGCCTACAGACTCTTGTAGGGCACGAATGTGTGATCTAGTGAAGGAAACCCAGAGAATACTGAGTTTGTGGAGCGCACGCTCCCCCACAGCTTGTTGAATGGCAGGGAAAATGAAACACCCTTAGATGGTGAACTCGAAATCCCAATCGATGACGATGGAGAAGACGTTTCACTCCCCTACCAAGAGAGGTTCGAATAGCTGTTGCCCGCTTAAATAATAACAAAGTGGCTGGTGCTGACGGCTTATCGGCTTATCGGCACAGCTATGTATTTCTGTATTCGATTGCTGTCTTTGCATTGATAAATAAATAGCCAAAGGATAATACATTCCACACTTGTACTTTTCTCATCATGTGGTTTCTATCCAGATTAAAAAGATTACAGGAGATTCACAGTTGACTTGGCATTTTTCCAACTGATTGTTTTAATTATTATCTGTATATTTGTAAATACAAAAAAAAGGCACAAAAGTTGAGTACACGTAGTTTATCGGCAGCCCTTGCAGCTGAGAGAAGGTTAGGCGAAACAATAACCGAAAAAAAATTATAGGAAATAGTATATAATATATTTTCTCAGTGTATTTCTGACATGAAAACAAATGTGCCTCATAAAAATGATTCAGATTATCAGAGAAGGTATAAAACTGTAGGTCCATCCCTTTGTATCATAATAATTCATTTTGACGGGCAGAGAGCAAAAAGGTTCTCATAAATGGGCATTTAACTCTTGTACGTGCATATTGAAATTTTGGTTTAAAGTCAATAGTAAATGATTTACCTGTTTCGAGAACTCGACACCAATGTAAAGGGTTGCAACAAACATATATGGAGTGACGTTCGTTTGAACAGATCGGCAAGCGTTTCAATTCTGATCCATCTCGCAAATTTGGCCAAAAGAATAGTCGACATATAATCACAAACGGCTCTTCTTTGTAAATTAAGCATCGTTTTAGTAAAATACAGTTTGAGTCCTGAGGGACCGACATCTCCTTTCTGCTTTTCACCGCTTCCAGTAATTTGGCTTGTTGCTGACGATTCAGCATTTTCATAAGTTTTCGGAACATTTGTTGGTATCTCTGTAACTGTTTGACATCTGTTGCTGACTGACTGGCGCCTTGCTTCTCGTTTTGATAGAAGGCTGTTGAAAACATCTCGTTCGAGTGACCATCGGTTGAGAAGCGACAACAATTTCTTATCATATTTACGGTTGCAGCAAATGTCCCTATTGTTGTTGTTGAAGCAGTTGACACATCTGTCATTTCGATGGGTGATTTCAATTGATTCTCTAGATTCGATTGAAGGGAACGCTGCGATATTATCGCTAAATGATCCTTTGAGCAACTCAGATGTTTCTTCCTTTGTGGATGAGTTTGGTCGCAGTAAACGACGGAAATATCGTCGAAATTTTTTCCACAACTGCAACCACTTTCCGAAACGTTCCCTTTCGGTTCGTATATTATTTCCGTAGACGAACCAGAATATTCGAGAATGGATGTGGATGTGCTCGATGTATTCTCGGTATGGCAAAATGAATTCCGGCATTGATGCGTGAGCTGGTATTGACGACTCACTTGGATAGGATATTGTTGTTGTGGGACATGTGACTGTTGCGACTCCAGATTGCTGTTCCCATCGAAATTTCTTGACAGGTTTTTTGACGCATAACGCCATAGTTCCTTGTCCTTTCGAAATAGCATGGAGGGACATGAAATGTTTGTGGAACATTTATTTAACTTATTATATTAACATTATAAAATTTACTAACTGTAACTTGTAACACATTCGCTACTCTTGATACTTATGCTCAGAATTAATAAAAATGCAAATCAAATCAAGTTCGCTGATAGCCAGGGTAAAATCAACTAATTCAAATTTATCAATCTTTTGCACTCTTATTTATTAATTTTTTAGAATAATTCAGCGAAGTCCTTTGTGATATGTTAAAACTGTTGTAATTGCGAGGTTTGTTGACAATTTGTAAATTCTGAAAAGAGAAAAATTACGAGTACTTTAGTTCATGATCAAGTATGTAGAAGGTTTGTAGAGAATATGTTACGACAACCGTGGGCGTCATACCATCAACTTCTAGTCATAAAATTTATGTTTTGTTTGAGCATAAAAACCGAAAAGCAAACGTTTATAGTATTCATGGAGGAAAACATAAATATATTTATATGTCATATATGTATATACATATGTACTTAACTTTCAACTGAATTCACTTGTTGTACATAAAATTAAAATTAAAAATGTTCTTTAAAAAAACATTGTTTTCACTGGAAGTCCTAAAGGGTCGAACTACAATATCTGTGAACGTATAACTCGTTACGTGAAAATGTGTTTTTCGGACTCCGATATCCGTATACATAGAGGATGGAAAACTCACTCATATTGAAGTGAAGAGCGCTCCCTCCTCTCACATTCACATGTTGGCCACGATATCAGATGGAGGTATATTCAACCGCTAAGGCAGAAAAGGCACCAGCATATACACGTTCAAAACATATATTTACCTAATTAAGCATCTTAAAACTTAATATAACTAGAAATAGAGAAACAAATTAAGTCTATTAAAAGTTTTTGTAAATAAAAAAATTTTGTAAATAATAATGTTACTTTTTTTGTCCAGCGGAAAATTGCGAGACCGATGAGCTATCAAGAAAGGGTAAAATCTTTCCTCTGCAAAATCACTGCTATGATCGGTCTTCACCAGCAAGGCCAATAGCAGATGGCACGGTGAAACGACATTCAATGTTTCCAGACAGCTCTGGCCATTGATCGATACAAATAGAACTAAGTTACCTGCTGACATAAAAGGTGACACTCTTTGGCCGGATAAAATCAGAGTCAACTCCGGTCTCGTGAGATTTGAAAAAAGAACTAAGTCTCTAAAAAATGAATGGCTCACGACCTCTATCGCAGCTGCAGAGATATGTACGAGGAGGAGATGGTGGAGCACTACCTCAGCCACTGATCCACCCTAAATGCAATCCGACATCGTATCCTAGCTAATTTCAGCAAGTTTCAAAAATCTCATTTGGCCACGACAGCCGAGTGGTGAGCATAGAGAGTGTCAACGTATGAAATGTGCTCCTCATAAAAAACTATCAATTTTATAATAGAAAATAAAAATGTAATCGTTATAACGCAGTCCAGCTAAAGGTAAATAAAATTGAGTTATCGCTTATGCATATTAAAATTCTTTCGTCGTACTTTCTCGGATCTGTAACATTTTCACAGATGATACATTATATTGTAAAGTATCGAAATCCATCAAAAAGTAAAAAAACGACATCTTTTCGGCGGATCGATATATACCAAGGGCGACGAATAGGTTCGCGCCCTAAGGTCATCTCGTTACTGCTTTCTGGCACAAATCATTTATTTCGTCAGAGAGTATCAAATTTTTGACTTTCTGACTTGTTCGCGATCGTATATAAAGAGGCAGAGTCCTCTTTCGTTGTACTTCCTTTTTATTACAAGGAATTTAATCACAGCGCGGTGCTCAAAATTGCTAAAATTTCCAGATTCCGTTGACATAGTATTTTTGCTCGTTCCAGGAACGAAGTGTTAATGAACCTAATAAAAAAAGTATAATAGCCCCGCGGGGGATGAGCCATGTGTAGAAATTCAACAAAGTGAGGAAAGTTCTTGATTGCCATTCAACTGGGAGTGACCAGAAACGATTCTTTTGTATAAGGTTCAAGCAGCTCACGACTTCCGGTCTTAGACCAAGTATCCCCCGGGTAGCCAATAAACATCCGTTTGAAGGTGAGCTAAAGTTAGAAGGCGAATCCCATGCGGTTGTGCGAAGAGCTTGGCACCCACCACTTGAAAAATATTTTAATGAATATTCCAGTAAAAAAATATATCATGCCTCGGATGAGAGGCCCCTCTTTGATGAAGACCCCCGCAAATGTTTTAAGGATCACGATTTGAGGGAAGGTGCCGCCGCAGCCCCGCTGGTTGATGTTCTCTTAAAATTAAAGGCTGATACCACCGCCGTCCAAGAAATGCGATGGACGGTACAAGAACGGAAGTAGGTGGGTCTTTGCGAAATTTACCACAGCGACCATATAAAGAAGTGCAAATTCGGTATCAGATTCGTGGTGGGAGAGAGATTCTGTCGCTGAATACTGGCATTCACTCCGGGGGATGAACGTACCGCCACAATCCCTATTAAAGCGATATTCTTTAACTTATCGTTGATTTGCGCCTACGCCCCAACGGAAGAGAGGGGCGATGTGACCAAGGATGGCATTATATGCGCCTTGAACATACTTATGAACGGTACCCCCGCCACGATGTCAAATTTGTGTTCGGCGACTTCAACGCCAGGGTGGGCAAAGAAGTTATCTTCGGCACGACGGCCGGAAAATTCAACCTTCACGACGAAACATCCCCTAATGAAATGGGGCTAATCGACTTCGCTACTCGGCTGTCCCCTGATCGAAATACGTAAAACCAGATCGACCATTTTGTGATAGATGGAAGGCATGTCTCCAGTATTCTTGACGTGCGCACAATTCGACTCGGATCACTATCTGTGTATCAAAAAACATCCGTCAACAAACACAAGACCGATTTTCTACTCGGCTTACACATCTGATTTCTGAGAGCACTCATCAGCACCTTGATATAAGGGAACTGAAACTCTCTACGTATCGCCGCTACGGAAGCAATTGGTTATCGGCAGTGCCAGAAAAAAGCTGGTATGATGAGGAATATCGGACTGCAGTGGGGAGAAAACCCTGCGATCGACCACACGTGCTGGGTGGGATTGATATCAAGAGCTGAAGAGAGAAGCAAGACGCATTTGCAGACGAAAAGAGAAAGAGGCCGAAATGCGTTAGTACGAAGAGCTTGAAAAGGGTAATGCTCGAAAATTCTACGAAAAGATACGGTGACTTACGGAAGGTTTCAAGACCGGAGCAAACTCTTTTAGGACCCAGGGAGGTGATCCAGTGACGAATGCCCAGAATATACTGAATTTATGGAGGGAACACTTCTCCAAACAGCTGAACGGCAGTGAAAATGAAACACCAGGAGATCGTGACCATGTCGAAGTTCGAATAGCGACTAATAAACATCAATGCGGCTGGGGCTGACGGCCTACTGGGAGGACTATTCAAACTTGGTGTTGAAGAGCTAAAATCTTGTTTGAAAAATACGGTCCGATAAAAGCATGCCCGACGATTGAAACAAAAGTGTACTCTGCCCAATCCACAAAAATTGCGATCGCACAGTCTGCGCCAAATACCGTGGGATAAGCTTCCTTAACATCGCATATAAGGTTCTATCGAGTGTTTTGTGTGCGCCAAATTTTGAAAAAGACCCATGAAAAGAGGATCGATACACACCACCTCTTCGTCGATTTCAAAGCAGCCTTGAACTGCACGAAAAGAATCTGTCTATACGCTGCTATTTGGTATCTCCGCCAAATTTATACGGCTGTGCAAACTGACGCTAGACAACTCCACAAGCGCAGTCAGCATTGGGAAGGACCTCTCCGAGCCGTTCGGTACTAAGCGAGGTATCAATATCGTGTGATTTCTTCACCGCCGATAATATTGACATTTTCGGCCTCAACAATCTGCTTTCTCCAGGCTTGATAAAAAAGCGAGGCGAATGGGTCTGGTAGTAAACGAGGATAAGACGAAATATCTCCTGTCATCAATTAAACAGCCATCACACTCGCGACTTGGCTCCCATGTCACTGTTAACAGTCATAACTCTGAAGTGGTAGATAATTTTGTCTATCTAGGAATCAGCATTAACACCAATGATAACGCCAGCCTTGAAATCCGGCGTAGAATCACTCTTGCCAACAGGTGCTTCTTTGGATTGAGTAGACAATTGAAAAGTAAAGTCCTCTCTTGGCGAATGAAAACTAAACTTTACCAGACGCTCATAAAACCCATCCTAATATATGGCGCAGACGCGTGGACGATATCAACAGCTGCTGGGTCAGCTTTGGGAGTCTTCAATGATATGATGATATTGACATAGTTCAGCGAATGGAGAGACAGCGGCTACGCTGGTTAGGTGATGTCGTCCGGATAGATGAAAGCACTCCAGCTTTGAAAGTGTTCGATGCAGTACTCGACGGTGGAAGCCGAGGACGAGGAAGCACTCCACTCCGTTTGGAAGGATCGGGAGGAAGGCCGCCCCATGGCTGTATGGCACCCAATTACGCGCTGTTAAACTTTACGACTGCTTCGAAGTACATATATCAGACACATCAATATGGATAGAGCACTTGGAATACCAATGGTAAACAAAGAAGTGGGAAATTCCTGTCGAAACTGTAAAATCATCTGAATCCTCTAGCGAACGCTGGAATCCGCCTTAAAGGCAGAGGTTTTCCACTTTATTGAAGCGCAGCCTTTTCTAAATGTCCATATTATGTACATACACGTACACACATCGATATGAACTCATATATATATATATTATTATGGGCCGAGTTCAATTTTTGGTTTGCGTCTTGATGTTCTTCATACAAACGAAGGGAGCTACAGTTTATACTGAATTCCTATAAACGGCTGATGGATTTTTATGAGGAGCTTTTTATTTCATGTCAGAAATACACTCGGAGGGTTTGCCATTTCCTACGACTTCTAAAAGATAATTAATTGAAATCACTTGCATAACAAGAATATATGTATATATAATATTATATCAGCAACGGCAAAACACCAAAGCACGTGTTCTGAAATTGTACAGCAAGAGATGACATACATACATATGTATGTATGTGATAGGTGAGTTTTCGCCAATAACTGATGATATCAGATTTCTCTTTAAAACGACGACGCAGTTGACAAATGTATACCACTGCGGAATCCTATCCGGTAGTCTAAGCTGAATTTTTGAAATTACCTCTACCAAGGTTCCACACCAGCCAATTAAAGCTATATTTCTTAAGCTTACATAAACGATGTTGGAAAATATACAAATATACAAATACTAAATCAATTAATACGATCAATTACAATAAGTGGAATCTGGTTCAAAAATAGTTAAAGCTTAAAATAATGAAAAATTCGAATACAAAAAGCTCCTCCAACAAGATCCATAAAAAGTGAACTGAGCGTGCGATTGTACATATTGTGGAACTCCTTCCATCTGATGAAAATGGTGCTAACTGTCTATCATACCAGGGATATTATTTAGATTCTTTGTTTCAAGTTTTAAAATTGCTTTTAGAGTTTTATATCGGTTGTGAATCGTGGAAGTTAAGTGGAATCGCTAAAAGAATGAGAATTACCTACGTTTCGTGTGCTTTCGTAAGTTAAGAGGGTATCAATACAATAGTCACGAGAGAGGAGAGATGTTGCGTGCTGCCAGTGTATCTACTTACATACATATTTTTAAGCAAATTTATAAATTTCGTCAACAAATTTCATATATGCATATATATGTATGTATGTACGTATGTATGTACATGAATTATATTGTAATAAATAATTAATTACGATTTCAACATTCATTTTTATTAAAAAAAAATGCTCTTATTTAATACCTTTCAAATTTATTTATTGTATAAAAGGCTATAAGGGCTTCCTCGTACAATAGAGAGAAATCAGCTGAGTCGATTTTATAAAAAGAATCTAATTGCCGTTAGTTTCTACGGTACAAACAGACAAATGTAGGTAGAATCAGCTGAGTCACTCTGTTTTAGGCTGATTCGGCTATTAGAACAATTAAATTATGTGTAAGTCTTTCTTTTTTTTTTATAAAATTGCATTTATACATATTTATGTGTTTAGGCTGATGTATATTCGAATTACACGAATACACATATTTTAACTTCCTTTTCTAGAGAAAATCATGAAAATCATGGAATTTTCGGCAAACAGTCATTTTTTCACTGGGCTATTTATTACATTTACATAGAATACATACATACATATGTATATTACATGTTTATTTTGATTTTATTTACTTACCTTTGCAAATAATTCTTTCTTTTTCTAATTGTTTAAAATTTACTTACAAACATATGTATGTACACATGTATAAGCTATATACATACATACATACATGTAAAAATACACATTTATTGTACGTATGTATGTAATTACAATCGCAATCTGATGTACAAACGCATGTACATACATACCTATGCATGTATAAAATAGACTCTGTACGTACATATGCATACATACATACATATGTATATATAAGTACATACTTTTATGTGTATGTATACTTTCAAGCATGCATATGTATGCATGTGGATATGTGTGGATCACACAGCGTTGAGGTGTGCGACAGACGACGGAGAACCAGGCACTACGCCAGCAAGACAAAAACGCACGACGGCGAAAGAAAAGTAGCAACAACACTAGTGGCTTGCATTGGCTTACGTGTATCCGAACTAGCAAACATGCAAGCTAACAACAACCGCCGTCTGGCGCGCAGTCAACGGCATCTTAAACATCAGGCGCCAGTGGGCGCCACTGACGTAATGAAAGCAATAATAGTAGTGTTACCGACATCGTCATGATGGCGCCTCGAATTCAGACACAAATGCGGCGCGCCGTTTACACATTTATAGAAATGCCTCATACACACAGCCTAATTTACCTTCTGCACACATATAAATTCAATTATATTTTATATACGACGTTGAGTAACTCTCAGACGTCAGAGAATAACCAACTAAGAACCAACACTCCTACTTTGTCTCTTAAAGAGAACAACAAAATAGAGAGAGTCGGCTCATTATACAGCAACAACCAAGTAATACATTTTTTTTTTAAATAGGAATGCATAAAGCTCTTATCACAATAAATGTATTATCTTTACCCTTACTCCTATATACTGCCTACATATGTATGTATGTATGTATGTACCTATACAAATTTCATTTCTGCGAACGGAAGACAATAAACATACACAGGTAAGAAAGAAATTGGAAGTTCCTATTTTGAAAAGGAGATTATCTAAAATACATTTAATTAGAAAGTAAAAATTTTAAAGTTATGCTTGTAATGTCCTTTACCTGATAAAAACTGCATATGTATATGCATGTACATACATACATACTACATGTATTAACTAAAGTAAATTTACACCAATTTCACCAGCTTCCTTAATTACTGTGAGGAAGAAATCACAGGAGACGGCAGAGTCAACTATTCTGACGAAGAACAGAGAGATCCCGCAGTCTGCTCCAATTATGATGGAATAAAATTTATCAAGACCACATGTCTATCGTCTTGTGTGAAAGACGAAAATCGGCTGTTAATGATTGAACTAATCTGACCTTATCAGTGTGTAGACCTAGTAGATCTATTGTAGACCAGATATTAACTATGTGCTAAGTCCTGAAAAAGACCCGTGAGAAAAGGATCGAAACACAACCTTTGTCGATTTTAAAGTGACCTTCGATAGCCAGCCGCTATGACTTGAATACGAAGTACCGAACTGAGTAAAGAAGATTTAATATTCCATAAGAGCGTACCACTGTTGGTGCACCCCCATATTGATATCATTGGCATCAACAATTGCCCTGTTAGTTTTTCGAAGTGAATGAAACTAGTAATAAACAAAGACAAAACGAAATACATACATACATATGGATGTCCTATGCACTTCTACTCCAGAAGTATTCGATGCAATACCCACTGGTGAAAGCAGAGAAACAGAGAAACCTCTACTATAACGGGGATTTGGCAAAGTGCAAACTGGAAAGGAATGGAATACTCAAGCGGTGCCCGTCACTTACACAAATACAAAGTATGTGACTAATTTCGAAGTGAAAACGTAATACGAATAAAGTTTAAAAAATAAAAAATAAAAGCACATGCAAACTATTAAAAAAAAAGTAATAAAGAAATAAATATTTTAAAAGGAAAATGCTAATATGGCCCTTATAGACATAATTATACTCGGGCCGGCACACACATACATACATAGTTCGAAGCAATAATACATCTTCTTTTTAACTAGTAATTTTATATGAATTTGAATGAACATTTTCAACAACCTCAAAAAGAAAACTGGAAAAATAATACTTTTTTTTTACTTAACTTTAATAACTTATTTCTTATACTTAATCTCTTGTAAAAATTTCGAACCGATTTTGGGTAGTTTTGCATGCAATCAATGATTAAAGATAACTTCATAAATATCCTTGAATTCAATGAAATAACCAAGTAAATTTAAAAATGCATGTGAAATTCCAAGCCTATTCTTTAAGTAGACAAATTACTTCATAATTAATTACTTAGTTATTTAGGTTTATTAAAAAAAGTTTGTTTTTATTATAATTTAATTTTTTGGCTCACAAATTTTCGTTTTATAATTTTTATGTCTATAATTTACTAATTACCACTTAATACTTCATTACTTTTTTGTATTACACAACTCGGCTATAAAGTATGTCAATAATTAATTACACATACTCGCATTAACTCACCTAACAGAGCGAAGTTTACCCATTGCAATGTATAAAAGAAAAATAATATATTTACTGGTAATATGCGCTTACAATGGCAAGCAAAGAAGAAAGGATGTCGTTTACACTCGAGCAGATCATTTACTCCAATTCTAAAAGTCCTTAAAAACGGACATGAACCCAAGAGGGATATGCTCAAGCTGCTGGGTATGCAGTTACAGACGCGGGTCTAGACTCAATTCCTGCTCTTGCGTCCAAGTCGCGCACTCTGGAAACGTGAGCAACCCTTTTGCAAGATGCGGTAACCAACCCGCTTGAAGCCTTGGGTCATGGCTAAAAGAGAGAAAGCTCCTGTGGAGCCACTCCTATTTATTCGGTGTGTAAAATGCAACAATATACGTGTACTAGCCACTACTTGTACTACAGAAACTAGCCGACTTACTCAAAATTATAACCATATATGTACATATGTAAGTGTTACTCTCTATTTGATCTATTGCAATTTTCTACTAAAGGCCTATTGAAGAAATTTTGAGTTTTAGTGGCTATCTTATCTAGAAAAATGTAAACGTGAGGTAAGCGACATTATTATAGTAAACTCCATATAACAATAAAACAAACGAAGATATGAAAATGTCTGATTACATACATATGCATGTACTCGTATATACGTATGCATGTGGCTGTTTTCTGAAATATACATTTTATATACTTACATGATATGTAATGCATGATAACAGCATTATTATTGCAAGATTATCGATATCGAAGTTTTTAAAAACTGGTTTGCTTTGACTAAATTATTTGCTTAAACAATTATTTTTGATATGTGTCGTTCCTTTAAAGTTGTTTATTTACTAAAATAAAATATCCATTTAATGACTTCGTTCTACGTAAAAATATTTTTGCACATATATTTCATATGGTAATAGCGGAAAAGTTTTTATAGAATGGTCGAAATACTTTAGCACAATTCTTATAAGCCTATTTGTTTACAAGTATCCGTAGCTTGAGAACGGGCGTACTCGTATGTCGATCAATGTACGATCCTTCGAAACGCGCACTTGAAATACTACTGTATACCACATATTCACACTTATACTCTGTATGTATTCTGACTCTACCAAAATAGTTAAATAATTGTTAATTTTGTTTCCTTTTTATTATGAATTTGTATTCTCTTTTTTATTATAATACGAGTATTTCAAAATTATAGCTTTTGTTAAGCAGAAAAGTACACTTCTGGCTCTTGAAAGTTTTTAACACGGTCAATTTCGGTCCATTTCATAAAGCATGGCCATTTTCTGATCCTTTTTGATCTTTTATAATGGCAAAATATAAGGAGAAGGCATTATCCATTTAAATTGTTAAGAATAAGATGTTTCAGCTGGAATAAATGAGATTATATTTTTGAAAAGAAAAGTATCCGAATAAGCATAATAAGGAGCACTTTAAGTAAGGTGAATTATTAAAAACATGTGCAGCTCCCATTTCAAATTTAAAGGATTTGTTTGTATATGTTTGTATATGATCATAGTGTAGCAGTTCGCCTTACCGGAAATAATAACAGTTGCCATTGATTGAACGTCGCTAGGAGATGGAACTAGTTATTATAAAAATTGAAACTAGAAGTTCACAGGTGCGAGGCTTATTTAAACAATTTTTGTGCAATCTGAATCTAAACGGATAAACTATTTTTCTGTCAAAGATAGACTTGTTGTCGAAGATCACGTTTAGTTAGAAAAATCGTTCAATGCTCTGTTAGCCGGTTTGCATACACACATATATTATAAGTATAATATATTAATTTTGTTGATATTATATTTAATGTGTTCATATACAGTTTTTACAATTGGAGGAGAGTTTTACAGGCATTTGTACATATATACATGCATACATATGGAGGTTTCAATGGAAAGGAATTAAATCACGTTTCGGCACCTATATACATATGTAAGTCTTAATGAAAGTATTATTACTGGCATACATAAATATGTTTATATGTATTATAAAAAACTACAATCGCACTTGAAACGCTAAATAAATGTGTGTGTAAGTTAAAATATACATACATACATCCATATTTAAATACTGAGACCCAAAACATGCTGTTTGTAGCGCCAAAATTTAAGACTTTCATCAATTTTAGCACAATTTTATTATTTCTTACACTAAGTTATGAATGTAGCCACTTATCAATACGCACATATATATGTACTTAAGAATGTATGTATGTTATAAAGTGAATGCTCGTGCGCTTATCCCTGTAGGGAATGTCGTAGTCTACCAAAATAACTCCACATTGGATATTTGAGAATTTTTCAAATTTTTCTTATCAGAAACTTGTGTTTTTTGTTAACGGAAATATATCAAGCCAAGTTATAAAATTTATATACCTACGTAGTGCACAGTTAGCAAGCATACTTTTCACTATATCACTTAGTAACAGCAGCAAGTAAAAAAATAAGCATAGGAGTAGTCACCGCTAATTGAAAATTGGTTTACTTATACTGCTTTTATAATTATTTTATTTTCCTACCGACCCGTCTATATAAATACATATGTATGTATGTATCTACATAAACATGTATCTATTGATGCCGATATACATACATATGTACATATACAGATAGAAGAGAATATAGGAATTTACGACTAGTAAATATATGTATATACATACATACATATTAGGTATGAATATGTGGATAAGAGCAGCAGAAATAAAAACGTAGGTACACATATGAATGTATTGTATTTTTGCCGTGTTGATTATTATCCATATGTATTTATATGCAAGTGTACGTATAGTATGTACATATGTACGTATGCATGTTAATATACATACAAGCATATGTAACATATTTCGCTGAGTGATGTGTTAAAGATCATATGTATATTTTCACATTTCACTTTATTTTTACTTATTGCATTTGACTTAATTCATTCGGATTGAATCAATAACGTATCTTCAACTTTATGTAAATATGTGAATCGTTAATTAATATATAGTCATCAACTCTAATGGTACACCGAATTCATACATCTTGTTATACGCATTTCTTATATTATAAGCATTTTTCGCATTAAACTTTTTCACAATTCAATGCATTTGTTTACTCGAATTTTGTCAGCAAAATAAATAATCAATATCACTTAAACACAATCATGTCTTACGGCAGGCAATAGACAGCAGAAACTAAACTAAAATTCATTTTAAAAATCTCTTTTACCATACTCACAATACATATGTATACTATGCGCATGTGTATAAGTGCATATCTATGAGAGGAGTATCCACATGTGGCAATTACTTAATGGCAATGTTATTTGTTGGTAACAATTCCAACTTCTGTTTCATGATGGCTCTCTGAAGCTCATTTAGGGTTGCCAATAGCAGAAAATAAAAGTTTTTAAAATCATGTACGAAAATATCAATAATAAAACTTACGTTCGTATATACAATTAACTGTCAAATTACAACTCAAAGCTTCTTCTACCACAAATAGAAAATTATATTTTTCGAAAATATGGATATATATATATAATTCGATCTGTAACTATTTTATTTTAATTTAAATTAAGCCAACATGCTATTCATAAAGCTATTATTTATAATATAAAGCATTCTCCATTAAATTGAATTTCTATAGGTAAATTGCAATTTAGACAATATTCGATACTTAAGTAGTTTTCCTGATAATTCCACGAGATCACGTTATTAAATATAACATACATTTTAAGGTCACAATATCATAAACCATACTAAAATAAAATCCTGATATGTTTTTCAGCCATTGCTATTTCACAATTAATGTTTCAATCGGCATGTTAGTCTTCTTATTTCGAAATAGCTCCTGGTTAGGAGAAGCGACTTGATTCAGATTATATTAAATACCAAAGGAAAACCTCATCAATACTGAATCGAATTTCTGATATGGGTAAGATACTCAGCTAACGCTATTTTACAAACTATTGTATGTTTCAATCGGCATGCTAGTCTTCTTATTTCGAAATAGCTCCTGATGTGCAGACCCGACTTGATTTATTTTATTTCAAATATCAAAGGAAGACTAAATTAATACTAAGTCGAGCGTCTATTATGTGTTGGGTACTCAGTTATCGCTATTTCATAATTTTTGTTACATTTTTTCTTTCAATCGGAAGTTAATCTTCTTATTTCTAAATAGCTCAAGATGTGTAGACCCGACTTCTTAAGATTAAATTAAATACCAAAGGAAGACCAAATTAATACTGAATCGAATTTCTGATATGGGTAAGATACTCAGCTATCGCTAATTTACAAACTATGTGTCAATCGGCATGCTAGTCATCTTATTTCCAAATAGCTCCAGATTTGCAGACCCGACTTGATTCAGATTATATTAAATACCAAAGGAAGACCACATTAACACTGAATCGAATATCTGATATGGTTCAGATACTCAGCTATCGCTCTTTTACAAACTATGTTTCAATCGGCAGTTAGTCTTCTTATTTCGAAATAGCTCCAGATTTGCAGACCCGACTTTATTAATATTATATTAAATACCAAAGGAAGGCCAAATTAATACTGAATCGAATTTCTGATATAGGAAAGATACGCAGCTATCGCTATTTTACAATCTAATGTCTCAATCGGCATGCTAGTCTTCTTATTTCGAAATAGCTCCTGGTTAGCAGAAGCGACTTGATTTATTTTATATTAAACTTCAAAGGAAGACCAAATTAATACGAAGAAGAGTTTCTATTATGTTTTGGATAGTCAGTTATCGTTATTTCATAATTTTTGTTGTTTTTTCTTTCAATGGGAAGTTAGTCTTCTTATTTCGAAATAGCTCAAGATGTGCAGACCCGANCGGCATGCTAGTCATCTTATTTCCAAATAGCTCCTGATTTGCAGACCCGACATGATTTATTTTATATTAACTGTCAAAGGAAGACCAAATTAATATCGTCTTTCGGTTTTGACTAGATCTTGTTCGTTACTCATGTCGCCAATGTTTGATTTTTAAAGACATTCTGGCTCTAATCCTTAAGACAAAGCTCAAATGAGTGCTTACAAATATTTAGATCTCTACGGCGCCATCGATGAAAAATAAAAGTGCACATATCCACGCAATGATCAGCTGTACAACTTTGCTACGCTCGCTTTACAAAACAATTTGAGGATCCACGGTTTTTAGCATGCATCAAATATTTTTTTTTAATCTATTATAATAATTAATTGACAAGTTAGAAGCGAGTTTTTCTCTTAGAGCCTGCTCTAAAGTTAAAGTGCAGCTATTGTTGCTAACCTTGTGAAATTTAATTAAGTTTCGATTTTTGGATTCTTTTTATTGTACTTTAGTTATTGGATGAGTGCATAAGTTCGTGCCCGATTCCGATGGATGCCGTTCGATTCGTTTGAGAGTGGCGCTCATGAATGAAATATATTCATATTATATATCGTTGAAAAGGTGACAGTCCGAACTGTAAATCAAGCATAAAACAATTTCACTTTGATTTGAGTTGCTTAGTGAAAAAACGCATGGAATATTGGCAACGAAAAAGATCATATGCGTCATATTATGTTATACGAATTCCGCAAAGGAAAAACAGTAGGCGCTGCAACTAAAGATATTCGCGAAGTTTATTTGAACCGTGCTCCAGCCCTCCGCACAGTAAAGAAATGGTTCGCGAAATTCGTTCTGGAGATTTTAACCTCGCAGTGGACGGCCTTCTGAGCGTGATGACGATGTTCTAAGGACTTTAGTTGCGAATAACTCAAGTATTTCGACGGAAGAGGTTGCCAGTGAATTGAACGTCAACAAATCAACTGCGTTTCGTCGTTTAAAAAAGGTTGGGTACACTTTGAAGCTCGATACATTGGTGCCATATTAGTTGAGTGAAAAAAACAAAAAGCTTCGACGGATCAAAAACGAACCTTTTTTGGAGCGGCTCGTGACTGGTGATGAAAAATGGATCCTGTACAACAATGTTCAACGCAAAAGAACATTTGCATCCGATGAAGGTACTGCTGTGCATTTGGTGGGATATCCGAGGCGTGATCTATTTTGAGCTCTTGCCAGCTGGAGAAACGATCACTGCGAAGAAGTATTGTCAGCAATTGGTCGAATTGAAGAAAGAAATTGATGAAAAACGTCCGATTTTGGCCAATCGCAAAGGAGTTCTTTTCCATCATGACAACGCCAGGCCACATGTTGCAAAACCGACCCTGGCCAAACTGAAGGATATGAATTGGGAAATCATGCCACATCCCCCATATTCACCCGACATTGCACCTTCTGATTATCATTTGTTTCGATCGCTGCAGAACAATTTGATTGGAAAAAAATTTAAAAATGTGGAAGACGTCAAAACCGCGCGATTTCTATGAATCAGGCATCCGTAAATTGGTTGAACGTTGGGAGTGGATTGCCGAACATAATTGACATAATTGATTAATAAAAGCGCTTCCTTCAAAAAATTTCAATTTTAGTTTGCACTTGAAATCGGGCACGAACTTATGCACTTATCAATAAGTAAAATAACGTTTTTTCTACTTTTTATAAAAGAAGACATATACATCGAAGAGCTTATATAAAAATTAGAAAAAACGTTATTTTAACGGTTTAATGTTTGCTCAGAAAATATAATTCAAAACGATTTTATCCATCTAGTTTCAGTTATGCTTCAGGCATTCATGAGATCGCTTAAGAACTGCAAAACATGTCAAAATTGTTAAGACTTACTAGAAAAATGATGCAAACGTTACCACGCTTCTTGCTTTTAGAGGAGGTTAAGAAGAACATAATCGACCAATTACTCAAGCAATTTTTAAAATTGTAAAGAAACTTGAAGATGCTGGATCAGCTGTAGATATTGTAAGACCTGAGCATCATCGTTTTGCTCGTTCCACTTCAAATATCGCTACTGCAAGGGAAGTCTAGCCGAAAACCCGAATGTGTCTATTTGTCGACGTTATCAAGAGCTGGAACTTACTTAAGTCACTTTTTAGCGCATTTTGCAATTGAGCTTACACTTAAATCCTTATAAAGTCTAGCTCACACAACAACTGGAACACCAAGCAACACCCGAAGGATACATAAATAAGCAAAATTTTAACATTTGGAGCTCTGAAAATGACCAATTAATTGAAAAGAGGCCAGAGGACGTTTTTTGACCTGCAATTGAAAAAAATGTGGTTTCAACAAGATGGTTCTCCATGCCACGCAACAAAAGCGAATGCAACTTAATTAAGAGAGAAATTTCCTGAATCCGTAATCTCTCGTCTTGGCGATGTCAATTGGCCAGAAGATCGTGCGATTTGACAGCGTTTTTTTTCAGCTACGCGAAAGACCGTTTTTATGCATATGAGTTGTTAACTTGGGCACAGATACCGCCCATTATTTGTCAAAAAACAGTCGAAAATTACTTCAAACTTACTGCGGTCTTCTGAATGTTGTAGTGTTTCGCGTATAATGTGAAGGTTCAAACTTTAGAATATTAAAAGAATTTCATGAAAAAGTTATGTTAAATGCATTTTAATTACGTTTTGTTTCGAAGCCACAAAATGAGTAGCCCTACATACATACATATGCATGTACATAAAATAATTAGCACATTGTAACCGACCGCTAATGCGATTTTCAGCCGAGCTCTTCAATTTGTGGTCTGCGTATTGATGTTTCACTAAAAAGTGGTAAGTTAGTACGAAATTTATCGATGAATCTAAAGGGTGATCCATTTCGAAGGGGAATGTTAGTTATTATCATTCAAAATAACATTCTTTGGCATTTTTTGAGTCCAATTACGACTGGTAACTGGAGAATGACACTCCTGATGTTTTGCTGAATCTGAATGGAAACGGTATCGCGTAGACTTTTTAACTTTACATATCCCTACAGGAAAAAATCTAACGGTGTGATATCAGACGATCCCAATAAATCCATTGATGATGATGTGTGGGAAGTGGGGCCGAATGTCGCCGAGATCACGATTTTCACTTTCATCAAATAGTCTGTTTCTATAGCGCGTTAACGGTCGCCATTGATGGCTACGTTCTCACCGGCATCGTTTTTGAAGAAATATGAACCGACTATTCCACCGGCCCACGAAGCCCACAAAACCGTTGTTTTTTCTGGATGAAATGGCAGCTTTTGAATATCTTTGCTTAGCTTGTTTACATACCCATTGAGCCAGC